TTCTGATCTAATATTGTTCTACCTCATACTTTTCCTTTTCTGTTGAGATGTCAACCATAACTGTCTGATCATGATAAGATTTAGTTTGGTGAGTTAAAATGCTGTTAAGTAAAATAATTTCATGAAAACAAGCATATTGTTTTGTAATACATGTGCATGTTTTGTGCTGCAGGTCTCGCCTACTGTCTGCTGGCCTCTCTTCCACCCTGGTATGGACTCTTCTCGGCCTTTTTCCCTGTCATCATCTACTTCTTCCTGGGCACTTCCAGGCACATCTCAGTGGGTAAGGCAGGTGTGAGTGTGTGAGTGGTGTGTGTGAATGTCTTGTCAATACACCAGAGCTGTAATCTGTATCTTCTCCACCTCAACTTGCAGGCCCTTTCCCAGTCTTGTGTCTGATGATCGGCTCAGTGGTCACCAGGTTGGTCCCAGACGAGGGTCCGGCCTACAACATCACAGGGTTTGATGGCCTGACGATGGACGAACAGCGAGTGCTGGTGGCTTCTTCTGTGACCTTCCTCGCCGGCATCATGCAGGTTGGACGTTCAGTTCATCTTCTCAGCAACTGCATCACATCACTTTTATCTTGTTGACCCGACATTAAATATACTTGGTGTAATGGCATGTGCAATAAACCCTCCCACAATAGCACCAAGCTTCAAATCCTTGTGTCAGGAAGTATTTGCTCGACTTTAGAATAAAATGCGAAGCTATAGCCAGGTGATAGTGAACCTAGCTTAGCAAAAAATGTGCAAAAGTGGGAAAAACAGAAGCTGGTGAGGTCTAACTGCCTGTGTCACTTCCAGCTGGCGATGGGCATAATGCAGGTGGGCTTCGTGGTCATGTACCTGTCAGACACTCTGGTGTCCGGCTTCACCACAGCAGCTGCCATCCACATCCTGGTGTCCCAGCTCAAGTTTGTGCTGGGGCTGGAAGTCCGAGGCATCAGTGGACCGCTCTCCATCATATACGTGAGTAGAGAGCAGCTTAAAGCTTTCTGACTGATTGTCTCAGTCGAGGGAGTGTGTCTCATTTGTCTTCATCTTTTCAGACCCTGGAGATCATCTTTAACAAGATCACCTCCACCAACGTCTGCGACGTGGTGATCTCATTGGTCATCATGGTGGTGGTGTTCATCGTAAAGGAGCTAAATGAAAGATTCAAATCCAAGCTGCCAGTGCCCATCCCCATTGAGGTTATTATGGTGAGCAACATTATCAAACATGATCCTTATAAATGTTTCCATAGCATGAGGTGTTGAACGATTGTTGGTCATATAAACAGTAATAATGATAACACTCATTATGGCTTTGACTTTTTATCACTTTGTTGGGCAGGAGTGTGCTGTCCATAATCGATAATCAGATTTATGAGATCATTAAAGCATTTATAAGAAAGCATACGTGTTAGTTCAAGGCAAGAGTGTAACATAACAAAAGACATGTTATGATTTGTATCATCTCTTCTGCAGACTGTTATTGCATGTGGAGTTTCATATGCCTTCGACTTCAAGACGCGATATGGCATTGATGTTGTTGGCCATATACCAAAAGGGTGAGTGTTTGAATTGATACAGTACTTACACCATTCTAGTGACATCTGTGAAA